CGAAGTGGCTTTGCTTTGAATAAAACACACAAACACTCTATAGCCAGAGCTTCTTTCTAATTGACATTTTAAGTCCATTCAGAGTTTTTTCTTCTTAAACTATTGAAATTTAATATTCAAACTGCCTCGAAGAGTTATTTGTAAAATATTTTAAACACGATGTGTTGTTCCTAACTTTTATAAATATTCCAACTGAAGTTGAAAAATAGCTTAAATAAAAACACTTAAATTCTGTTGTTGTTGTTAACTTGTTACTGGAAATATTTGTAAGACATCGACGGATTACTGAACATGTGGTACTCTGACATTAAGCATGAACTTTTAAATAATTCCCAGACGTTTAGTTTGACATCATTGAACGTAATATGGGTTTAATGACCGGATTGTATAACATTGGGGGAATTAGTTGTTAGATTATGTTACTTGTATAATAAACTGCAAACACTCAATTAAATTATTCCGGTATTAAAACGAAAAAAATGAACACAGACAAGTGTTTTTGATTCTTTCTTCGAGGGACATCTATTTATGCAATAAGAAATGTACTAAATTTATATTTCATAGTTTGCCCGGTAGGGTGGTGAAAACGTAAGGATACATTGTGTCGTGCTGCTCGTGCATGTTCTTTCTTTTACGGCATAATACTAGGAGTAGAAGGTAATATAACTATTTTTGAGCATTGATATTAATTCGTGTATATTTTCTTTACGTAATATTAATATTAACAAGTTATTTTTTCTTCAAAAGTAAGTTGTAATTCCATTGTCAAGTAACATATCAACGTTTCAAAATTAAATAATCGTTGTAATTTGTATAAAATTAACTTAGTTATTGAGTTTAACTTTAGTTTTTTAGGTTTTACCTTTATTTTAAGTTAACTTATAAATTTGAATTAATAAAGAACTTAAGAAGTTAATTTTTAATTGATTTATGTAAATGACTACCTCTCCTAAGAGAGAGTTTTTGTTACGATGACTAGAACATTATTATACAATTTATTTAAAATTAAACTTTAACTTGGAGTTGGACCCTAATGGCATCAGCACTGTAGTATATACGTAATACTTGTGTAGCCTAACTGTATCGATATCGTATGTGAACTTCCCACGTGGTCGTTAATTACGGTTAGCGGTTTTACTAAATTTTACAATTTTAATGCGCGTGTGTGGCAATGTCGCAAACATTTTCAGTAACTGAGTAAGATGTGGTAATAGGTATAAGTTTTAAATCTAAGTCGAGAATATTTTCTTCCCATAGTAACGGACGATAAGCATGATCTGTTATTTTTAATTTTTTATGAAATCAAAAGATATATTTTACTAGTTTTAGTTTTAAGCTTCGAACTTGGAGAATTAATTATAGCCGCATAGACTGTAAATTACAGTGTAATGTTCAGAGTATAAATCGTAGTGTTACTGTTATGTAATAATACTGCAAGCCAGGCGTTTTTGCTATAAATTATAATTCTAATACTCAGTAATAGTAATAGTCCACTCTCGATGTACAATAAAAGTGGTAACGTTTGAACCATTGAGGAAAGGTTTTCAATCACGAGGTAATCATTAAGCTGCTACAATTAATTTGATGAAATGGACCAGATTCATTGGAGATTTGCAAAGTTTAACATATTAAGCAGCTACTTTTGTATTTAGGTAATAATTTAAGAATAAGAAATGCAACTGTACAAATACTTGTATATCCTAGACTTCAAAGTTCAATACTGTGGTGTAAAATTAGCTCGGTTTTTGCGTGACATTAAAAAGCTATTTCACTTGTAAGTTGTAATTACTGAGTCTCCAGGAAAAATGTTTGGCATGAAATCCAAGGGCAACAAGGGATCCATTAGCCCATTTAATCTGTCTCATTCACTTAAAAAAAAAAAAAAAATCGAAGCCAGTTTGTATCATTCAAGTATGGATCAAGTCTTCTAAACTGTCTCAAGTTTACTGCTTCCACTACACCTGAAGGCAATCCACATCTAAAAGCCAACCACCCTGCTATAAAAATAACTATCTTAACCAAAGATGACTCCTACCTTTCTAAAATATATATCCCTTTGACTCTTGTTATTCTTGGTATTAAGTATGGGGGGGGGGGTGGTGCTTGACAATATTAATTTCCTTAGTCTTAAACATCTCAATCAGATCCCCAGAATATAAGAATTTAATGGTCACATTTTTGCTATAAATGTAGAAATGCCTGTTGATAAAATTAGGCAGCTGTTTCTTCCAGTTTAAATATTAAATATAATTTGAAGTTTCACTTTGCATTCAAGTTGCTTAGGTCTTTATGTTGTTCACACAAACTTTGCTAATGTATTATTATTAATTGTGATTATAACAAGTTCAAGATTTCAAAACTGTGGCTTGAAATCAACATTGATACATCTTCAAATTTGTAACACTTTTTTGAGGGAAGAATGATTGATGAATAAGACAATCATATTCTGAGCTTGTTAAGAAAAAATTGGGAAGTTTAAAAGAATGAAGGATCCTGGACCAGATATTTCCCAAATGGCTATGAAAAAAGATTAGATATGCGAGTCACTTGTTTATATTTTTTAAGTTATGAGTAGTGGACATGTTCCAGAACATTAGAACGTGATTATCACTGTTTTCAAGGAAGGTGTTAATAAATTGTCTGGGTAATTATAGGTTTTTATTAGTTTTACATCAACAGTGGGGAAAAAATTTTGAAAATGATAAGATGCCTTGTAAAGTCTTCTAGTAAAAGTTCAATTTAGTTTGATAGCCAACAGTTTCACTGTGGTAGAATCTTGTCTGATTAGTTTTAGATTCTTTAAGAGGTAACGACTTGTATTTGTGAAAGTAAAGGTGTGAATTGGGTTTTTGATTTTTCATAAGCATTTGACAAGGTTTTACATAAGGTTTTTTAAAACAAACATCTGGGTGTGGGGAATAAGTTACCTAGTTAGCACATTATGCAAATTCAGTAAGAAATTGATCCACATAAATTTATAAGTATAATGAAAATTTTTTGGTCAATAAATTTGCTGTTAATATTAAGGTTTTGTTTGGTGTCTGACGAGAATGCTGCTGCATTATAAAAGGATTTAGATCATTTGATGAGTTGGAAGAATGTGCAAATGGCTTTTATTATAATAAATGCAAGGTGATATATGTGGGGTATCATAAATTAAACTTAAATATAATATTAATGGAAACAACCTTAACAAGTGTTTTGGAGGGAAAATATTTCAGTGTTTTGAATAATCATTCTTAAGCCATCTGTGCTATGTTATACTGCTAGTGGAAGGGAAAACGGGATTTTTGAGTTGCATTTTTAGAAATATTGAACATTTGTCTAAAGCAGTTACTTTATTGTACAGGTCACTCGTTAGGCCTCATTTGGAATGTTGTTTTTAGTCCTAAGATGAACACTGAATTGTTGGAAAGGGTTTAAAATTAAAGAAGTGCTACTAGGATACCTTGTGAACATGGTAGGATAATGGGGCACAAATACAAGACTTGGCAAAGTAGGAATCATCTTCAGCTTAGACGCTTTCACATAAGTAGGAATCATCCT